AGACAGGTTGAGTACTTGTGATGTTGGAAGAACTTTTCGAAATTATTTGGATTGAAGCAGGGAAGCGACACATCGATCAGAAAAAAATAGAAAGGTGACGTTCATTGGTAAGGGTAGGCATTTTGTTTCTGATGAAATTTTGAGTTTACATGTAAGTTATTTAAGGGCAAGCAACAACGTAAATTTGGGGTTGTGATGAAACTCAGTCATTACGTAATATTTGCGAGTATTTTTTACAGAACCAGTGGAATTATGAGCAAAAGTCGAGCTAAAATGATGAAGAAGTGAGAAAAATTGCCAAAGGGGAAGAAAGTTTGGAGTGCAAAAAATAAGAAGAAAATGGAAGAAAAAACAAGCTTTTGCCCTTGGATTTCTCAATACCGCAATGCTATCACCATGGACGCGATGATAAAGTATCGCAATCGTGATGGTTCTTAACATGTCCGCGATGATGCAGTTTCCTGACACACTTTTGCAGCTTTAAATAGAGAATTTTGCTACTTTTGAGAGGGTTTAGATTCCCATGCGAGAAAGTGACAACAAGAGATATTCAAATTTGGAGAGATTTTGAGCCATTTAAGACATATTTCTTCATTGATTTCCATGTCCTCTTCATATCAACTAATGGTAATTCATTGCTACATTGTGAGTAGTTAGGTTTCTTTTGATTAGGTCTTAGGAGATGAAACTAATTGTACTTTGTTGGATAATATGAATGTTTGATGTTATTTGAATGTTTTACTTTATATCTATTATTCAATTACTTTTGTTCTTAAAGCTCTTTGTGTGTTAACGAGCACTCAAAGCGAACTTAGATAAGTAGGGATTATTGACTGTAAGTCTACCGATTTGAAATAGAGAAATTGTTCAATTTAGTAATAAACTAAGGATATGCAATTATAAATTATGGCTAGAGAATTAGTGCACATAGATCACTTAGTTTTACTTCAAATTTTCCAAAGGAATTAGGGAGTCATAATCTAAATTAGTGAGTTGTATACCAACAAATTGGATACAATGGTATTATTAATTTGCCGTAATATTTTTGAGTAATTTTTATTCAAATAATGCACATTCGTCAATAGGGGACAATTAGGAGATTCAAATAAGATATAATCGCCTTCACATTATCGTATCTTTTATCGATTTTATTTGTGTATTTAATTTTACACAAACTCAATTTGAAAACCCCTGTATTTTTTTAAATTGCACGATTGCAACCTTGTTTAAATTTGTAATCCATGTGGAGACGAATTTATTTTTATTACTTCGACCAAATTAGTACACTTTCTAAGAAAGTTATTAACTACATGTGCGTTTGGTGACACATCTAAAATACTGAACAATTCCATACACATTTGAAGATGCATCTAGGGTGCTGCTCTTTTCCACACGTGTTTGGAGAAGCATCTGGGTAGAGGTAGAGTTTCGCCTAAAACCACTCATACGCATCTGAAGACGCATTTGACTACTTGCTTTCCTGTATTCCCATACACATGTGGGGATGCGTCTGAAGGTCCATATACATCTAGGGACATATATCACCAATGCGACTTCACTTTGGTCTGCCCGGAGGTCTGGATGCGTCTAGAGACGCGTATAGGCATAATTTGTGGTCCTTTTTAACTTTCCTTGTTATTCTTGTAACCTGCAACACAAGTAAAACCTTTCTCAAAAGATCATCTGACACATTGATCATTCTAAAACATTGAAATCCTTATACCATAGATAAAGTCTATAAAAAAAATCTAAATTCGACATGCATGTACTGATAAAACATCAAATCTACTATTAAAATGATGATAAACATATTAAAATGGTGACTTATCACCCATAAACTTTCCTTCTACCCGTAGGTAATTCCGTTGAGTACGCCTATTATTGTAGGTGGCCTCTTTTGGGCAGTGAAACGAGTGTTGAAATTCTAACACACGTAGAGATTTGAACTAAATCATAATTGACCCGGTTAGAGTTAGTGCAAAGTGTTTTCACTTTTCAACTTCATCAGCATGGTAGTAATCTAGACGATTATCTACATGTTGTGCATGATCATCCAAATCCACAACTCCATCGTAACTTTGGAGCTTTGAAGGCTTCTCAAGCGACTTCGGGATCTAGCTATCCAGAATACTAGAAAATAAAGGATTATTTTTTCCCTTTGACATAAGGCCACTCCTCTCATCCTTCCTCTCTATGAGGGAGGCAGACCTCAAGAGGAGTTTGACTACCCATTCCTCCTTCAAGATTGGGATGGGGAGTTTGGTGTTTCTGAACTCTTCGTTGGCTTGAAGATTCTGAAATTGCTTCTTAGTGAGATGTTGTCGACCTCTTGTATTGTATTTCTCTTTGAAATTCCTTCGGGAAACGACCTCTTGTATTGTATTTCTCTTTGAATTTTTCGTGCTACAAGCTTTATTCGATGTGAAGTAACCTTTCTACTAAGGCTTGTGAATTATGTTGGTGAACCATATGGTTAACATTATTTAGTAATTGGTTAGCTTCTTGTACACCGAGGTTAGGTTGTAACTGTTAGAAATTAGGGAGCACTTTTGATCTATGTACAATCAAATACACTAGAGTCCTGAGTGATGGTTCACCTAGATGAAATTCTGGAGCAGATCCTAAGACGAGTTTGAAAGATTTATTGAGATACCCTAGGTTGGACATGGCCGTTAAGTGACAATGCAGATGGAAAATCCATGAGGATTTGATCGCTACTACTTTGAGGGATATGCAGTGGATCATTGGTAGCTCAGTTGGAAACATTATGGTTGTGGCTGCTTCGTGTTGTGCGACAGAGCGAGTAGCTCTGGAACCTAACATTATTGATGGATTTGGGAGGATATCCGAGAAGAGATGCTAATATTTAATTTGATAGGATTAAGAAAAAGACCTACAAGAATTAAGAGATGTGAATTTCTAGGTCAAGAAAGCTTCAATTTAAATGTGAAAACACAAGAATCAGATGTTGACTCCTACAAATAGTGCCATTATCCGTACGAGAATCAAAATTGATTGGTGAAATATTAATGTAGGTCACGACAGTGGACGCGAGCTTTTGATATAGAGGAGAAGATGCTGACCTCCCGGCTAACACTCTAACACTTAAGTCAATATAACAGTGAAATAAAACGATTGAGATTTGAATTCAAATTACCTAAGAAATGACTCATTCTCCTTTTTATGTAGTAGATCGATTATAACCAATTGCTAATTTAGTGGGGTGAAAAGAAAATATGTCTGATTGATCTTGGGTTGGGATTTCCGACTTCCTCGTCTAGGATGGTGTACCCGTTATGAAAAGATATTCACCATCTATCTAATGTAGTTTTGATGAAGACAAAGATTGATGAAGACTATCAAAGAAGAAAAAACTTGAGAAGACACATAATGAATGCTTGGCAATTATGAAGTTTAATCAAGTGATGAACCAAAATGTTTGATCATGATTAAGGTTCATTATATCTCATATTATATCATCTTAGATGCTCATAATATCATATACATCTTAGTCTTTAAAGTTCTTAAAACATCATGCATTAAAACCTTTCAAGAAATACCATTAAAAATCATATTTTTCACTTTCAACACAACGATAATCTATTACATGAATATGGTAATCGATTAAAAATTCATTTTATTTTTCCTAAATTATGGCAACTGAAACCATCGTAATGACACTTTCATAATTGCCATAATTATCATATTTTTAGTAACCAGTTACATGAGCTTACTGTTTTAAAATGTGAATATTGAAAGAGTGGTAACCGATTACACTCTAATAGTAACTGGTTACACCCTAAAAATGTGACTTTTCATGAGCCAACTTCATTCCGAATCATGGAAAAGCTTCATGGAATTGCTTTTAACATTTACAACTTCTCTTAGAGATATCTTAGGATGTATATAAGGCTCTATACACCATATTTTCAAATAATCTCTTTCATGTATTATTTTAATCAATTCAAACAAGTTTTTCAAGTGTTCATACAATTTTAACAATGAAACTTTGCGCATAACTTTCATATCTTTCAAAAGAGTTTCATTCAAACATTCTGAGCACTTAAGTATATAAGTTTGAATTCTTATCAAAATAAAGAAAAGAACAAATAACTCATATTGAAAATCATTTCATAAACAATTGTATATCAAATCATTTAAGGTTCTTTGAATTGGATTGATTCAAAATCAATTTTGTGGTGTAAATTATTGTAAAAATATTATTTGAATTGAGTTGATTCAAAGTCCACCATAATATTTGATGTTTGTAAAAAATTCCTGGATTGATTCAAACTCTACGATAATTTTTGTGAAAGTGTTCTTTGAATTAGGGTGATAAGGAGGTTTAATATAATTGTTTTGTGTCATTTATTTTTCAGCACTTTAATTTTCGACACTATTATTATCCTAAAAACCAAAAAATTCTTTGCTTTCAATTAGAAAAATTCAGAACATTATGCAAAATGAAAATAATCCAACAATACTAATTCACCCGCTTCTTATTCTTATGTTACATCTCGTAGTTAGATTTAGTCAAGTGAACCATTTTACTTTCAAAACAAAAATCATAATAAAATACAAATGACAATAGTTTGAATACATAAATAACCATTTCTTAAATATTTTAAACACATTTAAACACATTTGACTTATTTCATAATCGTTTGACTTATATTTAAAGAAATAACTTTTTTATCTAAATTTCTAAAAGAGTTATTTTTTCCTTTGTTGAAAAAACAATGTTATATGAAAAGGCTTTTTGTTTTTGGTGTTGGAACTTGAAGATGAAGGAAACGCTCAACACATTCTCTCTCTATGCTACTATTGATTAATCGTAATCACTTTTCAACAGGTAAAATCTTAAAGCAGATCTACAAGTTTTCTCATTAATTCATTTTCTGCTTTTAATTTAAGTCGTAGATTTTCACTTATAGTATTTGAGTTTTTTATAATCAGCAGCGGGAATTTAGGAATTAGGGTTTCAGAATTGTGTTTCAGTTATGAATGGTTCTGGTTTAGGTGGTGGGGGTATTTTGGACCTTAAATCTCCATTTCATAAGCATGGTAAACACCATATGAATATGATGACTGGTTTGGAAAATGATAACAAAGTGGGTCTAATCGACGCGAAAAATTTGAATTTCGGTAAAGGAAAAGCAATTGCTAGCTCGAATGATAATGACATGAGCGAAGACGATGAGGTGGAAGATGGGAATTGTGGGAATTTTTTTGGAGGTGGTAAAGGTAAGAAGGGGTCTTCTCCGTGGCAGCGAATGAAGTGGACGGATGATGTGGTTGGGCTGCTTATAGCGGTGGTGAGTTGTGTTGGTGACGATGGGACGATTGGTGGTGGCGATGGCGTTAAGAGGAAGTCGGCTGTTTTACAGAAGAAGGGTAAGTGGAAAACTGTTTCCAAGATAATGATAAGTAAGGGTTGTCATGTGTCGCCGCAACAATGTGAGGATAAGTTTAATGACTTGAATAAGAGGTATAAGAGATTGAATGAGATACTTGGTAGGGGGACTTGTTGTCAAGTGGTTGAGAATCCGGCTTTGATGGATTCGATGACGAATTTGTCTGGTAAGGTGAAAGATGATGTTAGGAAGATATTGAGTTCGAAACATTTGTTTTATAAGGAAATGTGTGCTTACCATAATGGACAAAGGGTACCAAGTAGCCATGATCTTGACTTGCATGGTTATTCGTTGGAACACGGGAATGACTCGAGAGATAACGATGGGTCTGAGGATGATGATGACGATAACAATGAAAGTGAGGACGATGAGATGGATGATCAGATTAATATTAATGCACATGGGGATGGAGGGAGGAGGACGGAGGAGTTTTTTCGTGAACGAGATAAATTAAGTGAGGAGGATGGCCATGGCCACTCTTGGCCGCCATCTATTAGGATGAAGAAACTTGAGGTTGAAATGGCAAAGGTTTTTCAAGACCCTGCAAAGTCACCGTGGGAGCGAAGAGAATGGATCAAGACACAGCTGTTGCAGCTTCAAGAGCAAAATGCTGAGTACCAAGCCAAGGCTCTTGAACTTCAGAAACAACGGTTTAAGTGGTTGAGATACTGCAGCAAGAAGGATAGGGAGATGGAGAAGATGAAGATGGAAAACAAGCGGATGAAATTGGAAAATGACCGCAGAATCTTGAAACTGAAACAGAGAGAGCAGGAGGCAGATTTCAGTAGGTCCGAGATGTCCTTAGACGCTGCCACCCTTGGTATCAACAACGCGCAAGGGAGAGAACCTATCAACTTGGCTAGACAACAGTAGCTCCCGGTAAGGAATGATCATCATTGCTGAAATAAATAATGTATGAAATGAAACCCTTTTGATTATGATGCTACATAATTTCTTAGAACAGTTAGATTAACTTAGCACGTTAATTATATATAGAAATTCTTGCCCTTGAAAATGAATGCTATATTTATTCTGTTCTTGGATTTTGAACTATATATGATTGAAAAGTTCACTATTTTTTAACCTTTTGTAGTGCTGGAACATTAAAATCTGGAATTTGTGAGATTTTTAGGAGAATTGATGAGATTTTCATTGAATCATATAAGTATTTGTGTGATTTTTAGAACAATTTACGTAAACAATTTATAATATGTTTGTAAGATTTTTTTTCCCATAAGTTTTTAAAGATAACTTATGAAAATAAATTAAAATTTATGTAAAAATAATTTAATTTTACTTTATTATCTGTAATAAGACAACTTATACATACATATTTTTTGTTTATGCCTGCATGTTCAATTAACTTGTTTGTCTAAATACGAAGAATCACATTCTTGCAAGAGTTTTAAAGCAAATTAAGAATTGGCATTTTTAGGACGAGGAAGTATATAAATTTTCTTAGGTTGAATAAAGTCTATGAAAAATTTAAAGTCTATTTTCGGACCGAACCAGTATTAATGTCTATTTGGTTGTGTGTTTAAACAATTTCCACATCCCAATGTAATCTTGTCGTAGAAATGGTGAAGCTATAAAACTGGGTTATTAACGTAATTTTTTTTTAAGAGAATCTCTTTTTCTATCCTATAGTTTTATAGCACATTACGGAAAGTTATAAAAATATTTCTGAAAATCAGAAAAATATTTCTGAAACGCATCAAAAATTTAATAAAATGTAGGTCGAAATCGAAATTTAATTTCTGATTTGCAGTCGAAATTGAAATTTAATTTCCGATTTGCAACTGAACCATAATTCCGATTCTGAATTTGTCTTTTGAATAAGATGAACTTATATTTATGTGTGGTGCATGGCGCGCACAGAAAAATATTTCTGATTTCTAAAAACATTTTAAGAATTACATAGAGTTTTTCTTTTTACTATAGAATAGAAAAAGAAATTCTCTTTTTTTATATCCAATGCTAATCCAAACATATGTTTAGACTATTCTCTTTTTTAATATCCAATGCTAATCCAAACATATGTTTAGACTATCTATTCTTTTTAACGTAAGTTTTTAAATATTTTTTGCTGTTCAATTGCTTACAACTCTCACTTAACTTTACTTTCTCATTTCCTTAAATCTTAATCATCTTCTCCTTCAATAATAGAAAACTAAACTATTTGTATTTTGTTTTCAAGTTTACAAATTTTAAGCATCATCTCTTATCTTTACTCTTCAATCAAAATGTTTACAAATCTCCCTTTAATTTTACTTTCTCATTTCATCACTCACAGAATAGTGTAAACAACACCATGTCCTAAAATTTATCCAAAATTATTCAAAGTAAAGGTTCACTATCGGTTAGAATACAAAGTCAATGTTGCCATTTCAATTGGTAGCATGCTCCATGTACCAGGATACATTAAGTTTGTCTATCTCTATGCATATTGATATTGATAATGAAGTTAATAATATACTTGGAAGTATAAGCTATGCTACAATACTTGGATCTATACAATGTTAGTATACAATATCTTCATCAATAAGCCACGATAATAGATAGCGGAGAAGTTTTTGCATGAAATCTTTGGTTTTCATCGTTTTCACGTTGCTGTCACCAGTCAAACTACCGAATAGATGTGCATCTAAGCCTTCTAAATCGTCATTCTGAGATATTCTCATTGAAGGCCAATGAGTCACTATTGTGAAGGAGAGAGTGTATCTGATTGAAAAGGGACTTAAGAAAGTCTCTTGAAGGAGGAAACGGATTGCTATAGTCTCTTGAAGGAGGAAACGGATTGCTATCAAAGGTCACGATGAATAAGAAACATTTTCAAGAACTATGCAATCCTTGAAAGGAGACGCTAGTCATCAAGTTCATTGGGAAGAATGTGGGCTATCATTTGATGAATGATAGGTTGAAGAAGATGTGAAATTTACTGGAGGTTTTAAGATCATGGACATTGACAATGGTTTCTTTATGGTCAAGTGCGAATTATTCACAAATAGGGAGAAAATTGTGTCAGAAGGTATGTGAATATTGTTTGACCATTATTTGGCAGTGGTTCGGTGGGCTTCATACTTTGCATCTCCTTTTGCAAAGGTGGATAAGACTCTGGTTTGGATTTGATTTCCAGGACTTTATTTATTGTATTATGATGTAAGCGTCCTTCGTAGTTTGACATATGTTGTGGGTACTCTTGTTAAGGTAGATACTAACACCTTGAATGTATAGAGGAGAAGGTTTGTGAGAATTTGTGTGGAGATTGATCTGATCATGGAGGTTGTCAGAAAGGGGAATGTTAATGGCCATTGGTACACCTTGCAACATGAAGGTCTTCACATTATTTACTTCAGTTGTGGCTGTTATGAACATCACACCCATGATTGCAAGAAAACACCAGATAATCTGACATAACCGACCGTTCCTACGGTGGCACAACCAAGAGGGCTGCCAGAAAACAATGACACCCATGAGTAAAAACTAACAAAACTGCTTTATGAAGTGGGCAAAGATATTGCCGAAATTGTAGAAAAAATATGGATAAATAAATGTAGTTCATGGTAATTGGCTGGTGGTGTAGAGGAAAAAACACAACAAAAGAGTTAGCTATGGTCAAGGGAAATCTTTATCCAATAATGAGCCTAGAGATATGGGGAGTTCTAAAATCAAGGGATCAATGTTTCCTTAAAAGAACTAAGTGCGGACAGTAAAAGTGTTGGACCCAATCAACTTCATGCAGTTTCCAAGAAATGACAATTTGATAAGAGTATACCCACCCTAGACGCACATTAACTAGCACACAGAGGGAACCCATGCGCCAAGGCCATCTCTACCATTTTAGAACCACATATTGCTATCAATGGGCCTTCACATAAAACAGGGCCAACTTTTAATACATGCCCAACACAAAAGGGTGTGCATAGCGCTGCTAAATACACCTCCATCACTCTCATACTAAATTTGGTTTTGAGACCATTATGCAATACAATATTCCACATTTTGAATCGACAATAAGTCAGGCAGATGAAAATAACTAATGCACTACGGATAAAGGTGATACACAAGAAGAGAAAGTTGTTCGTGAAACTCCCATTGAATGAGAGCCAGCTACGTAAAATGACTCATGTCCAGGACTTGCTTTATCACCTCCACCAACTTGATTAGTTATGTTAGGTTTCAAACAAGTCAACATGCTCTCCTGTAATATCCAGGAGCCACCAATAGTAAGGCTAAAAGACACATGATGAATTTGCTTAGAAAATACTCTCCAACATTTTTAATCATTATGGAAACACATAATTGGTTTTATAAGACCAAATCCTTCTAGGATATAGCTGGATATGTGAGTGTTCAATACGTGGATGCGCGTGGTCAACTCAAGGGAATTTGAGTGTTAAAATAGAACGGTAGTAACATTGTAATTGTTGTGCATGATGTCTTGTGGATACAATTACTATCAAGCTATCATTGGGAACTTTCTCTTGGTATGTAACTGAAATTTATGCTAGTTTGTATGCACTTCTCGTCTTGACTTGTGGCTCCACCTCATTAACCGGGGGGGCATGGTTAATGATCCTTGAATGTTGATTAGACTATTTAACGACACCATTCATCTAAGTGAACAAAAAGAGGTAGTTTTAATCATTCTAGAATAACTGCTTTGTTGAATCCCATTAATAAATGTAATTTAGTTGAAGTAAACATGACTGGTGGGAAATTCACTTGTAATATACCTTGTACCTGTAATCGAATGGTCCATCGCAAGCTAGATAAGACTCTAGTTAATGTTTCTTAGCGCATGGCTTTCCCTGATGCATATATTGTGGTGTTGTGTACTTATGATCACAATCCCATTCTCCTTAGGTGCGTTCTTCACCTCCAAGATCATGGGCCACATCCTTTTAGTTTTTAGGCATCTTGGATCAATCACCCATAATACTCCAATATAGTCTAGACTGTTTGGGGGAAATCCCCATATGGCATTGTAACTTGTCTTTAAAATGTGGAGCATGATCCTATCCTTTTTAATAAGGAAACTTTTGACAATATCACTAAACAAAAGTACGACATTGAGAAGAGACTCATGGGTATCCAACGCTCTTTGAAGACAATATATTTGACAAGACTAGTTTATCTCCAACATGAGTTTCAACAGGAGTATGATGAAATGCTTGTGCAAAATGAGATTAATTGGTATCAAAAGGCTAGAGATGATTGGATTAAATTGGGAGATCGTAACACCAAAGTTTTCATACCAAGACGGTAACCAGGCGAAAGAGAATTGAAGTCCATAGTCTTCATCTTCCCAATGGTGTTTGATGCAATGATTACACTATGGAAGAAGCACTGGCTTTTTTAAAGGTCTTTATTACTCTACATCTCCCATACTCCATGATAGTATGAGTGACTCAACTATGGTTCCGATCCTTACTAAAAAAGCCTAACACTCTATGACTCAACAAGTGACGATGGAAGAAGTTACTTATGCATTGAATCAAATGCACCCTTTCAAGGTGTATGGCCTTGATGGATTCTAGGGTGCTTTCTTTAAACATTTTTGGCATATAGTTGGAGACGACGTTGTCTAAGTTATATCATATGCTTTTGTGATAGATAGCTTTCACTCCTCTCTTTCTGAGACTCCTATCACATTAATCTCTAAGGTAGACTTCCCAATTGTTTAAGGAATTCAGGCCAATTAGCTTGTGCAACACTATTTACAAGCTTATTACGAAGATTATGGTTAATAGATTATGTTCTTATCTAAATTACATATTTGGACCCTTCTAGATTAGTTTTGTGCCTGGTAATTAATCATGTCATTATCCTCCAAGAAGCAATTCATTCTATGCGTAAATCTAAAATGAAAA